TTTTTTCTTAAGCTGACAACAGTTTAGTAAATGACAATACCTTTGTAAGCAGAATTGAAACATTTATCTTTCTCTCTACCTGATCCCTTCAGAATCTAAAAACTCTCAGTGACTATTTTTATATTTCATGGCAGTATATTTATTTGCATAAGTTCAGTAAGAATCTGCTTTCCTTGTAAGAGGACCAATTAAAAACACTGGTTATATTACCAAGGCTTTGACAGGAATGTCATACCTAAGAGTAAACTCATATGAACCAGACAGCTTTAAGGAACTAAGATTGACTTTATAGAGCCAACAAAGCCCCTTGGAAAAAATTGGCCTGGTACCTTGCTTACAGGGTTGCCAGCAGCCTTACTGGGTAAGGAAGGTCATTCCTGGGAGGTGCAGGAACCTCAGGAATATCTTGGGGACCTCAAGAAGAGAGGAATTCACCCAAATCTACAGGTACTGCAGGCACAATCTGATGGCAAGTCTGGCTTGGCTTTATGGCCCTGAGAGGCCTTTAAATGTCCAATCTGAAATTCCTTATAAAAAGTACCAGCAAAGCACATTTAAACCTATATAATCAATTGCTCTTTTTGATGCACTTATGCAAATAATCAAGCCAAGTGTTAATTATTTTCTTAATCTGGTTACTTCTAATAAAAATGAGGGTTATTTTAGAGAAAAGTATTGCTTCAATAATGCAGCCTTATCTATATTAAATCCTAATACTAGTCATTGGGATATAGCCTAGATCCAGAATTCTAGTTTCCCCAAAATATCTAGCTATGATTCACCAGATGTGCTAGTTTTCTCCCATCATTTCAGTTAAAGTTTTACTATTTCTAGTTCTCATATTCAGCCATGCATTCTTAAACTCATCAAGTTTATTCCTCCAAAATGGAAAATCCAACTCCAGATGTTGCTATCTAACCTAATAACATGATTTGTCCTATCTTGCCTGGAAGCCATAAAACTGCAAATAGTAATAGTAATGGAACCCAGATGGAAGTGCCCATGTTTCGAGGCTCTCTCAACCGACTAGTGATGGAGACCTAACTGCACTCTTTACTGCGACCCCTCTCAGCATGAAGCAGCCAGAGCGGTCTTTGCCCCCTTTCCCTAGCAGCAGCTAGGGTCTCTATCTGTAGAAGGGGGAATGAGACAGGGACCGTGGGTGTAGTCAGAGTAGGGTGAGGGCCTCCGAAAAAAGCAAAGCAAGACAATTATAGACAGAACAATGTAACAATGTGCAAAGAAATCCCTATCGAAACTCTGTGTTAAGCATTATGCAAAGTCAAGATCACACTAATTCTCTAGGGTAAAGGTACCAAACTAGGAATATAGACATCTTCAGTGAGATCAGTTAAAGCTCAAAAGGCCAGATGCAACTTGGCCTGAAATGTGTGAGTATTCCACAAATAGAGAAGGGTGTCTCAGCATAACCCGTGACTTCACTGTATCTCAACTATAAACAGCCTTAGCAAACAGACAACAACCCAGCCCACCTTGGGGGCAGGGCAGGTGGTACGAGTCTGCATCCCTAGCCCTTACCCACATTCCTGAAAATTCTCAGCCAACTACAAATCCCCTAGACAACGCACCATCACGGGCTCTCTTGTCCCCTTCTGCAATGAGCCAGGAGCTCTGTCCTCTCATTGTATCTCTCAATTAAAGCCTCTGCCCTGGCTCTCCTACCTTGGGTATTTGCTAAGTTCATTCTTCGACTCCACAAGCAAGAACCCCGGTATCACTGAGACTTTGTCTCATTTTGCCATGAAAATGCCAGTTGCTTGGGAACCGGGATGGGTTGGTGGGGGGCAAAATAAAAAGGCAGAATAAAGCTTTAATTTTCATCTGAAGATTAAAGATAAGTACTCTAGTATTATGTACATAATATGTTGTGAGCCTATATATATATACACATTTGTAAAATCCTCACATTCTTTTCTTTGTGAAAATGTTAATTCTCTACTAAAATTTCACACGATTTTATTTATATGTGCTGTTCTTATTTTTAACAGTCATCTCATACTCTTCTGGTAGTCCATGATGTATTATATTCTTTATGTAAAGAACAACCACAAAGATAAAAACCTATGGATCAAGAAGGGTGACTTTGACTAGGTATGGAGTAAAATTGCAGTATTTCCAGACTCCCTCACCTGGCCTTAATCTATTTCCATATTAATAGGTGTTTCTTCCCACAGCCTCAAGGGACATGAGGTGGAGAGAAGCTGTTCTCATCTCCCCTCTATTGCACAACTTGGTCTGGCCCCTATCAGTTGCTGGGGCTCTGCCTGTGGAGTTTCTCCTGGAAGAGGTAGGCATGGGGGAGGCAAGTGCTGGCCAAGACCCAAGCGAGAGTGGCTAGAGGGGTGAACAGAGCCAGGCTTCTTGCAATGGATTTCTCCCAATTTAGCTTTTCCCTTGACTGACTTCGGTCACACCAGTTTATTCGCCCCGCTCTAGGAACACGTTTCCCCTGGAGCTACACCAGGTAATTGGTGCCTTAGGCACCTCCCACTGGGTTGTACACAACAAGCTTCTGAGTCAAGTGATCTTACCTACCTTGGTGACTGCCTATCAGAGCTGTTGCCTTAGAATTACTACAGCTATCGACCACTGCTGCTCAGAGGATTTTGGTATTTGAGGCACTTCACTGTCTGATAAGCACGTGTTTTAGCTGTTAACAGATACAGTGATGAATACTCACCCAGCAAATGAATACTTATTAACAGCAAAGTATTATACATTCTTAAGAGTCACAAATACTAATCCCTAGCTCAGAACTCATATATGGTAAATGAGATTTCAATGCCACATACAAAGGACACTGATGGTGGCCTATTAAGTTAAAGGCACAAGTATGTTCTCATCTCCTCTACTGTTTTTATTTAAGACTGTTTATAATTTTTTTCATGTCACAAAGGAATGATTCATTTAAGATATAATTTCTTAATCTAATATCAGAGAATACTAAAAGAAATTTGCCTGCATTTTCACCTACACTGGTTTTCCAGCTGTGTTCTTTATTTTCATGGCTCCTTAGTTAATGAGGCTAGTGCCATGTCTTTGTTTCCCTCTGCTGTCCCTTTGTGTGACACACTGAGCCATGTTTGAGAGACTCTTTGCCAAGTCCAGTACAAACCTCATTGTACAATGCCAGGAAAGAAAAAATGAGCACACAGTAGCGTCTTTTCACTGACAATGTCAGTAATAAACAAGTGAGATCAGACAAACTAAGTCAAGCTTGGAGAGTGAAGGATAGAGGCTCTGAGATTCAGGATGTTAAGGGTGCTTTTAAAGTAGTCAACACAGTCAAAATAATGCTATTACTACCTTCTGTGTATTGCAAAAGTAGCATTTCTTGAAGTACTTCCCTTATCTCCAGGTTGGAAACATGCTCATCTTCGCAGATTACATTATCATGCCCTGTCCTTTAGCAAGAACTCTATTAACTGTCCAACCATTTAAACAAATACGTGCTAAGGCACCTTTTAAAGTAAGCACTTCATGATGGCCTCGCTAATGACCTGATGATCCTTCTGAAAAGGAACAGAGGAAACAGGAAGGAATGTCTTGCCCTGTCTCAGTACAGCTTTCCTCCGTATGTCCATGATGAAATCCGACAATCAGAACATTCTCCAAATCTATCTGAGGCTTGAGAGTAGGTGAGTACCAAGCCATGCTGAGTTACTCTGGAAGCTTCTGTTGATAACTGATGTGGGGTTAGAACATGGCATTAATTAGTCCCAGAACTGTGTGTGACCAGTTTTGTAAAATGTATGCATTAAAAAAAAATTTCTAAACTGTCAGAGATTGTTATCTTTTGTGAAGGTTGGGAAAGAACCACAGTCCTGGGGGTAATCAATCTCCTAGGGAAACTTTGGAGAAAACAGGCAAAACCTGACTCAACAAAGTTCAGGAAGATATTTTCCATGATTGATCTGCAAGTCACTGGAGCTGCTTAAGAGGGCCCAGTACTAAGGTGGGGCAAGCAAAGTGCCTAGAGCACAGAACAGAAGGAGGCACTCTCTGTCACTCACATAAGCCCTGTCCCATCCCTGCTGCCTACAGAAGCATCTGATCAATAACGTCATTTGAACCGTTAGAAATCAGAACCAGTGAAGATATTACTTATTCAATAAGGACAGCAATAAGCAGATACCACTGCTCTCTTCCATTATACTTTATTGAGTTCTCAAAGTGCTTTCACATTACGCCAACAACAACTTCCTGAGGCTAGAAGTGCGGAATGTATTAATTGCACCTCAGAGATGCAAGTTCAGGGAAGCTCTAGGATATGATCAAGGTAGTAGAGGCAGAACTTGAATTCAGGCCTATGACTCTGTCTAGTACTCTTCTCACCATACTAAACAAAATCAAGTCTCCCTCTGAGGTTCTTTGTAGCATCTGCTTTTATGGTCTACATTGGGAAAATTTATGAAGTCACTGGTGGCTAGCTAATTAATATTACCAACAAAAGGACCTTAAATTTGTCTTTTGTCCAATGCCCATAAATGGCCTTATGAGCAAAGAAAAATAAGAGGAATTCATCTAATGGTTCTTAATGCCAGGCCTTAACATTTTAGGGGAAATCAAGACCATTTATAAATCAACCTCACACATGAATTTTTTTAATACTGTCACTGGTTGCATAGAGAATCATTTTTTGTTAGTCATTGGAAACATATGAGTAACTTCGATAAAAGTTGTAAAGAAGCTGTGAGATTAGGGCAGGTCTATATAACATCGAGCTTGAGCCTTCTCTCCTTGTACTGGGAGATGTCCAGAAAAGAGCAAAAGAAAAAAAATGGCCCCTGCCAGGGAACAAAATATGGTCTGTTGGTCTTTCTCTTCACAGTCCTGCGTTAGACGAAAACTTTCTAATGTTAACCAGAAATACAGTATAGGTGTCCACAAAAAAAGTTTCGAGTTGCAAATCTCATTTCCAGGATTCAGTGTATTAAAATGGAGAGAGTCTAAATTATTTAAAAGCAAAGTGAACTTACTCCTCCCCATGTTTTCTTGAGGTCTTCTGCAGATCCCTGGATGATGATTCCCTGTACAAAACACAGCACACACACACACAGTCAGATTCACAGAGGCTGAGTCACTATATTAATAAGTTCCATTAAAGCTGATGTGGTCAACATGAGCATTTCATTTTAGTGCAATCCAGTCTTGCCCCCTTACATAAACGTTTTCTCCATCACAAACAGGTATCTAACCTCAGAGGACAGAACCACAGTATTCTGGAAGCACAGGCTCTATATCAACTTACTATGACCTTGTTTATCTGACATTAGTTTCCGTCCTTGACAAATAACAAATCAAATTGGTCATATGTTTCTCTCTTAGGAAGGCAGTGATAAGAACAAAACACGGTAGATAGAATTGACAAAAGGCACAGTTTTAATAACCAAAACAGCACACATGTTATTAGTTTGCCATCTCCGGTTCCTCTTCAGTGTCATTCTGTGACAAATCCAATGCCATTTACAGTGTAACATTTTCCTGAATGGTGTCAAACAGCAGTACTCCTAATCAAATTATCCCCAAAACAAAACAGACCACAGAGTTATTACTAATAAACAGTATGAATCTGTATCCAATAGACTCTTTAGAGGAAAAAAATCCACACTGCAAATGCAGTTTTGCACGGAGGAACAGCAATTCTGTTTTTCAAAGATGAAAATATATACATGAAAGCTAAATCACCCCATAAATGCTTCATTTTCTCACAGGGTTCAATCATAGAGCTACCACACATTTACTGTTCACCTGCCACATTCCCAAGATGGAGTTAAGCATCAGAGAAGCAAAATTACAAAACAATCTACCTGTCCAATAAGGATTATGCAACCTATTTGAAGTTAAGCATGAAAGGGAGAGTGATATTATCCAGATGGCCACATGGGTCATTCCTGACTTCAGTCCCCCTCACAAGAAGACCAACTAGCAACTATCCATAGAGAAGATGCAACCATGAGAAGTTCACATTAGAAGAGTAAGAGAACTGGACACGCTCTGACCACACTGGCCTTCCCTGACACCAGCACAGCATTGGCACCCAGAGGGCTCCCTTAGGCCTATGGAAAAGAGACCCCACAGTGGATATCCAGCTCTCCTGGCATGTGGGATACTTCCCAGGCAGCCCATTCAAGGCTTGCCTCACAGGGATCAATGAAGGAACCTGCAAGGTTTAACCAAGGGGATCAGACAGAGATGGGGGTGTTACAGTTTGTTAGTTTGCTTACAGCAAACAGTGCTCGGGTTCTATCAGACCACATTTCTGCTTAGAGCAGTGCCTAAGCACAGATCCCAGCCAGTAGCTCTGGCCAAATGCAGAGCTGAATCAACGGCCCCCTCTGGCTAGGGAGCTCAGTTGGCAGTTCTGCCTGATTTGGATCCCTACCAACAGTCCATCCCCAGTGGAGCCTGTTCTACTACCCCACCCAGGAAGGGAAGCAAATTCCCAGCCCCACCCAAGTGCTGAGAATAGCCTACATTCCTGCCCACTCAAGAGACCTGGCTAGAGAACTGGAGCAGCCGTGAAGCCTATCCTACAGTCCCAGTTGGTCAGGGAGCCAAGCCAGCAGTCCTGCCCAACTACTGAGCATAGCATCTGGCCACACATACCCTGAACAGTGACCTGGGCAACATGGGAGCCCAGCCTGTAGTCCCACCCAGCCACAGAACTCAGCCTACAACCCTCATAAGCAGAGGACGCCAGCCTTTACCATACCCAATTGCTGAACACAGCTTTTAGCCTTGCCCAGCCAGGTAAGAAGCCCAGCCAGTAACTCCATCCAATCAAGAAGCATAGTTTATGGCTCCACCCAGCAAGGAAGCCTAGCCAGTGACGTTGCCTACCAGATGAGCATAGCTAATGGCTCATGTGATCACAAACACCAGCTTGCAGCCCTACTTAATTTCAGGGCACAGTCTCTGGGCCTACTTGATCCCAGAGCACAGCCTGAGGCCACATCAGGCCACTAAGCCCTGCCTTCAGCCCCACCTAAACACAGAGTACAGCCAGTGGTACCACCTGGTTGTGGGGCACAGTCTCAGATCCTGTATAACTAGGAGTAACTGCACAGCCCAACCTGCACCTCTGCCCAATCACAGAGTTCAACCAACACCACCACCCTGACTCAAGAGAACACAGCCTGGAACTTTGTCCAACCAGAGCTCACTGCAGAGCCCAGCTAGTGCCCCCACCTGACTGCACAGCACAGTTAATAGTCCCACCCAAATAGGGAGATGGTTGCCTAGTGGTCCTGCTTGAACATGGAGCCCAACTAACAGGCCTACACAACTGCAGACCAGACACTGGCATCCCCACAACTTCAGAGCACAGGTGGTGACCTTGCCAATCTAGAAACTCCAATAGCAAGCCCTGCCCTCAGAGGCTACCAGATGGTAGCTAGAGGCTACCTGTCAAGTACCTCAAAGATGTAGTAACTGGTGAAGGTCTTTCCCTGCCAAAATGAACCTGTAAAGTCTGAAAGAGAAGGCCACTTAAACAAATGCACAGATACCAATGCAAGGAATAAAGATCATGAAGAAACAGGTAAACAGAACACCACCAAAAGAAACTAATAAAGTCCTAATAAGTGACCCTAACAAAATGGAGATCTATGAACTGCCTGAAAAAGTATTCAGAATAATCCTCTGAAAGAACTTCAGTGAACTACAAGAACACACAGACAGAAAGCTAAATGAAATTACAAAAACAATGCATGAACAAAATGAGAAGTTCAACAAAGAGAAACCATCAAAAAACAAATTTTAGAGCTGAAGAATACAATGACAAGAATTCAAAAGAACAAAATGGCAATAGTAAGTGCTTACCTATCAATAATTACTTTAAACATAAATGGATTAAGTTATCCAATCAAAAGACACAGAATAGCTAAATGGATAAAAAACAAGATCCAAACAACATGATGCTTAGGAAACTCATTTTAGTTTTAAGGACACAAACAGAATGAAGTAAAGGGATGGAAACAGATATTCCAAGCAAATGATAACCAAAAAGAAAGCAGGGATAGCTATACTTACATCAGACAAGATAGTCTTTAAGCTAAAAATGGTCACAAGAGACAAAGAACATCATTATATAATGAAAAAGGAGTCAGTTAATAAGATACAACAATCATAAATATTTATGCATCCAACATTGGAGCTCCTAAATATATAAACCAAAACTAACACAACTTAAAGGAGGAATAAACAGCAGGACAATCATAGTTGAGGACTTTAATACTCCATTTTCAACAATAGATAGATCATCCAGAGAATCAATCAAGAAACAGGAGATTTAAAACACTTAAGACCAAATGGACTGCACGGATATATACAGAACATTTCACGCAGCAGCAGCAAGATACATACTCTTCTCAAGTGCACAGGGTGCCTTTTCTAGGATAGATCATAAGGTAGGCCACTAAACTAAGTCTCAACAAATTCAAAAAGGTAGAAATTATATCAAGTATTTTTTATAGCCACAATGGTATGAGTTAGAAATCAATAACTGGAGGACAGCTAGAAAATTCTCAAATACATGGAAACTAAACAACATACTCCAACCTACAGACCAAAAAACAAATTAAAAGTGAAAAAAAATATCTTGACATACAAAAATGGAAACACAGCATAAAGAAAACCAATGGGATACAGCAAAAGCAGGTCTAAGAGGGAAGTATGTAGCAATAAACTTTCAAGAAAAAAGATATTAAAAAAAACAACCTAACTTTATACCTCAAGGAACTAGCAAAACGAACTAAGCCCAAAATTAGTAGAGGAAGGAAATACTAAGTATTAGAGCAGAACTAAATGAAATATAGAATACGAAAGCAACAGAAAAGATTAACAAAACTAAGTTGGTCCATTAAAAAGATGACCCCCCCCAAATAAAAGAGGCCATGAAATCAGAAATGAAAAAGGACACATTACAAATAATACTACAAGTACAAAGGATCATGAGACTGCTATGAAGAATTATATGCCAACAAACTGGACAACCTAGAGGGAGCAGATAAATTCCTAGATACATACAACCCACCATGACTGAATGATGAAGAAACAGAAAATCTGAACAGATCGGTAACAAGGAGATTGATCAAGTCATCAAAAACCTCCCAACAAAGAAAAGCCAGGACCAAATGGCTTCCCAGCTGAATTTAAACATTTAAAGACAAATTAGTGCCAATCCTTCTAAAGCTCTTCCAAAAAAATTGAAGCGGGAACATTTCCAAACTCATTTTATGAGGCCAGCATTATGCTGATACCAAAGTCAGATAAGGGCACTAGAAGAAAACTATTGGCCAATATCACTGAAGAACAGAAATGAAAAATTCACAACAAAATACTAGCAAACAAAATTCAACAACACATTAAAAGGATTATACACCATGTTCAAGTGGGATTCAACCCTGTGATGCAAGAATGCTTCAACATATGCACATCAATGAATGTGATACATCATAATAATAGAAAATAGCAATCATCTCTCAACTGATGCAGGAAAATCATTTGACAAAACTCAACATTCACTAATGGTTTTTAAAAACTCTCAACAAATTGGGTATTGAAGGAATGTACCTCAACACAATAAAGGCATGTAAGAGAAGCCCACAGCTAATATCATATTCAACATGAAAGGCTGAATGCTTTCCCTCTAGGATCAGGAGCAACACAAGGGTGCCCATGTTCACCACTCCTACTCAACATATTACTGGAAGTCCTACTGAGACAAGAAGAAGAAATACAAGGCATCTAACTTAGAAAGGAAGCTGTGAAATTCTCTGTAGATGACATGATCTTGTATACAGAAAATCCTAAAGACTCCACCAAAAAAACTGTTAGAATAAAAGAATTCACTAAAGTTGCAGGATGAAAAATCAACATATAAATATCAGTTGTATTTCTATACACTAACAATGAACTATTTGAAAGAGAAATAAACAATCCCATTTATAATAGCATAAAAAAGAATAAAATACAAGAAATAAAAGGAGGTGAATGATCTATATACTGAGCATGATAAAACACTGAG